ACTTGTAAAAAAGCTTGCAGCGACCAGATGTAGAGTCGCTCTGTAAATAAACTGCTTTTTCGTCATTGCTGTTGCACTATACAGGTGCATTATGATGATTATTATGACTTATTAGTGTCAAGCCTAGTCAAATAATGTCGAGAAGTATCAAACATATCTAGATCAACATAATTTTAGCGCATTTGCAATGAATTCCAACTCACTTATTTATCAGCACAAATGTTGTGGCAGAACTTGGGAAAATCCACTAATGACGTCACAAAATAAGCAAACGTCAACGTCAGCAAACTCGATCATATGATACTTCAATTGAAAGCTCTTGAAATGCGCATTCAAATAAAACCTAGAATTGTTAATTTTTACAATTTATTTTAAATATATGGCGGATTTGTGACTGTTTTTGCCGTTATAGATGACGTCATCAATACCGTGATACTGAGGCAAAATGTATCTCCATACTCGAAAATATATAGAACCATTGAGATCATCTCGGTTAGGTGAGAAATCAGTATTTCACAGCCATAGCCCTGCCTATAATTGCTCTATTAATGTTATCGCATTTCAATTCAATATTGGAAGTGAAGTGATTAATGTCTTTAAATATTATGTATGTTGCTTACTCAAGGCAAACTTCCATTTCCTAAGAGCTTATTCCATTTATAATAATTTTAGTTCGATTTTCCTCAGAAGACCCTGCCAGCAAACAAACTTTTTCTCATGCGTCATAAATGTTTGTAGTGAAACTTCAGATTTCTGATCCAGCAACAGTTTCCTTTAGGACATGTCTACAAATGCTTGTGATCACTCTTCATTCTTTGAATCTAAAATTCTGTGCCAAGCAAAAACAATTTTGAGAAATTTTGAACAACTTCTATTGCCAAATCGAAAATCTTAAACTGCTAGCATTCAGATAATACCATTTGTTTTGATGATGTTAAAAGCTGACAATATTTGTGGAATAAAACTTGCCTGGGGCTTGTAGATGTCTTATGTTTAATCTCAGCAATAACCCCTTTCCATGAATTCTTTTACAGTATTGTCAAAGAAAGACAAACAAAGAAAAACAAATAAGAGAACAACAATCAGGTGTAAGAGAACTCCTTTATAGAAATAAATCTGTAATTTTTTAAATAAATATCATAAACATTTTTTAATATTTAATATACTTTTTCAGATGAAAACTCCCTATATTAAAAATGAAATATTTTGACAGGAGATATGAATATCGTTGTTTTTAAAATCAACACTTATTCTTATTCATGTTAGCTACATGGTAAACACTAACAGCATTTTTGTCCAACTTATGTCCAACAAATATTCTTTTAAAATCCTTCAAAATTTGACAGTATCTGCATAGTATGGTAATGCCATAAACACGATGACAGCAAATAGTTATGTATCCTTTGAATTATTTATTCTTCTGTCGAAGCACGAGGTAGAAGCGTCCATTAAGAATGTTTTCGTAATCAATCACGCACGCTCAAAAGAACCTGCTTCCTTTACCATTGAGAAATCATCATCAATGAAAGTCCTTCTCGCCAAACATTCTATAAGATACAAAACGTAAAAGGGCAGCAAATTCATCGGAAATGCCACTTCGTTGTCAAAAGGGTGATTTCGTAATTTCAGGTTCGAGACAGGCACGAAAACTGCCGCCAACAAAACTGAGCAAGCCATAGGCCCTTGCCATGCCACTCGGGAGCTGGTCCTTGCGACAAATCTTTCTCATCTTTCATGGGTAAAGAAGTAAGATTGAGGCCAAATGCACCTTAGCCGATACGCAGAAATCAATCTGTATTCGGAAAGTTGCTTCGATCAAAAACTTGAGTAAGAAAATCGCGTCCATGCACAGAAGAACTGTCAGCGCCATCTTTCGTCAAACTTCTTGAAGCATTCTCATTTGGACTGCTGTTCGTTTTCTGAAGACACTTATGATTTGCTCCTTGGATAACCATAGGCTTTGTTTTCCAAATCCCAAAATGGTTGTTTGCGCCACTATTTTCCATATCTGAACGAAAAGTAAATCTGATCAAATCTGCGTAACTCTCCATAAACTGTTCTCGACTACACTGATGATAAACATACAAACCTCATCGTTAAATACCCTATCCGAGATTCCGAGAGGACCTTCGAGCCTAGCTACTTGATTGGCTAATTCACAGTGGGGTGAGACGTGATTGGTTAACAGCGAACCAATCAAGCAAAAGATTTTGAAGCGTGATCATAACGTGAGACAGCCAGACAAAAGCATGTGACAGTCAGACAAAACGTGAACAGTTGAAGGCCCATTTTAGATAACGCTAGTACATCTAACTGGGGTATCAAAACAAGTGAGCAATACAGTCGCAAAACCAAAAGGGGGAGGATTTAAGTAAAGAATGAATCCAAGAATAAAATTTACATCTCATACACTTCATTTCCTTAATTTTTTTTCCAATAAAAACGCTAAATATGACATTTCGTATAAATACACGGAATTTATCCTTCTATACACGGAATTTATTTTTGGATTCTGATATGGAATGAAAATTCTAAATTTTGTGAAAAGCTAAGCATCATTATCGGGAAAAAATTCTAACATGAAGGTCATAAAACGACCACAAAAACATTTGGAGGTTCGGCCTACGTAATTTCAAACGTTTAATATAAAACATAGCCAACACGGAGCGTCCCTTCCTTTGTGAAGTCGAGGTAGATTCAATAAATAGTCAGTGATGAAATACTCATTCGACGGCGAACCGTTTTTGTTATTGGTCCTGACCATTGCTCTATCATCGACTTGAGATGAAAACTGGACAGACTGGGAAATCAGGTCTTTCCAGGGATGCGAATACACTCACTAGCGACTCCACAAAAAACCTGCTTGCTAACTGTGGGCAGCTCAGTTCTTTAGGAGTTCTGAGATTTCAACTCACTCTGCATTTTGGAAGTTACTTCTTTCGAAAATCTGAGATAGAAAGTCTCGGCTTTGGGAGTTCGAATTCATCATTTCCTTCGACAGACTTCTGTGAACACTTTCATTCCAACAACTGTTTGTTTTCAGTAAACACTTGTGATTATCACCTTGTATAACCATTGGTTTGGTTTTCCAAAAACCGAAATGATTGCCGGAACTTAGACTCTCCATTTCAGATTTACTATAACTTTTTCTTTTGCAATTCTGGCCTGGCCTAACCAGTTCCCGCATATTATCAAAACAGAATGTTCTGGATGTCGCCCGCCACGTTTGAATTGATTCTCGCTCTTTGATTGGACAATTTCAGGTGACAATTGGATGCCTTTAAACAAAGGGCGTTTCATGTGCACGTGAACACGTGAACACTTGGACTTGCTTGAATCACATGTTCAGTTCAATTATTGGGACACTGGACACTTTCCTCTCGCAGTGAAATTACTCTCCTCCAGTAAAATTACTCTCCTCCGCATGAACAAGCGCATATCATTGAGGCAGACTTCACAGTGGACTGGGCGCGTTTAGGCGAAGTAGTAGGAAAACCCAGGGAGTGTACTGGAATAATTGTTGGCAGGGGGGGGGGGGGGTTGATTCTTTTTTGGTTCTCAAATTTTCAATTTTCTTATTCTTGGTTTCGGAAGGCATTTTTATATTCTTATTCAACCTTTTCTTGGTTGAAGAGTCGCCACAGTTTATTTCTGTTAGAGTTTGATTTATTAGTGGTTTTCATTTTTTGTAGTGATTTTGAATTGTTTAAAGATATCCCCGGGGCAGGGGCGGATTTAAGCAACAATGAAGTTAGACACTAATTTTGGTGCCACACTCTTCAGGTCACTGGTAAATGATGGAAACGCTCTTCGGGTCACCGGTAAATGATTTTTGAAATTTGGCTTTTAACTGTGGCGTAGCCAGATTTGGAAGATTGGTAGGCCAAAGAGGAAGATATTTTTGCTGATAACACCCCTAAAAATTCGGGAAAACATCAATTTTGTAAATAGGGTATGTTTGAAAAAGCCATGGCATTTTTACGTGGCAATTTCCCTCTATTCAGCGTCATAGGTGGATGACCATATCCTACAACTGTCTATTTTCTTCACAATTGCCTTCAAGAGTTTTTCATCTCAATCTACGCCAATATTTTCTGATTTGAAAATTCTTAAACTAAATGATTTGTTTGAGTTAAAGCTGCTTACATTTGTTTATGAATCTGTGAACATGGTTTCTCCTGTCCTTTATCACAATTTTTTTGCAACTTTGACATCTGTTCATCACTATGATACAAGACAAGCTTCCAAAGGTGATATTTTTATGACCCAAGAAATTACCCTGCTGGAACAACATTCCCTGCGTCATCAAACAATCTACTACAGTTACAAATTTCGCCGGAAACTAAAATTGCATCTGTTCTCCACCAGATACCAACAATAGAATCTTTTTAACTTCTTCTCAGGACCACAGTATAGAGAGTCTCTCTCTATTCTGTGTCAGGACTATAAATATGTCACTATAGGCTAATTTGTGTGGGGGTTTGTGATGATGGGGATGGCTGTCGGGCAGTCTTTGCTATTTTCTTTTCGGAGAGAGCGTAGGTTGTGTGGCAGTTGTTCTTGTTGGTCATATGGCTCCCTCCTGGGCAGCCTGTGGTGTAAATACTAAATTAATAGATTGTTACTACAGGGGGTGCTCTCTCTCCTCGATTAGTATATATATTGAGAGAGCTCCTCCTTTAAGAAATTCCTGCATGCAAATCTCCTTTGTTCTTGTAAAATAATCTATATTTTTTTTCTTTTCTTGTTCTCTATTTCTCTCATTGTATGTAATTTATTTCATCTTTTGTAACCTGCTGCTGTATTTTAAAAGATTTGTATGTATGGATTTTAAAAGTGAAATGAACTGAACTGAACAATCCCACTAACGTTTATATCCTGAATTGTATAAGGCGAGGAATCTCTACGTAAGTCCTATCCAGAAATATCAAAAAATGAATAAGCCCCCAGGGGGCTAATTTGAGGATTTACGGTAATTATTTTTACCCGGTTGCCTTAATTGTGTGACTGTGGGGGAGCAGCAGGATAATTTAGGCCACTTTTCCACATGTTGCATCTGTCTGTGTATTAAAGAAATGAAGCGAGAAAGAGAGGATACAGAGGGAGGGAAGGCTCATAATTTAACGACTTCAACCGAACAACCAATTAATGAAACTAATGGCCAGATCCAGAAGAATAAAATACTTCCGAGAAAAACAGCAGCAAAACCTGGGTTTGACGCACGAATGTTCGAGGAGACAAGTTTCTACTCAAATGAAGGGCTACGTTATGTAAAACCTTATCACTTCACATTTACGACTCATTGCAAAGGGAGATGGACTGGAAGGACATTGATAGATGTATTTAGTAGCGAGTTCAGAATGGAGTCAATAGATTATTATAAGGCGGCTGTTCAGAAAGGAAAGATAACAGTTAATGGTGACATAGTTGAACCAAGCAGAATATTGAAACAGAATGATCTGATAAAGACCTGTATTCATAGACATGAACCGCCTGTCATTGACAATCCTATTGAGTTTGTGAAAAATGATGATGAAATGGTAGTGATAAATAAACCTTCTTCAATCCCTGTGCATCCCTGTGGGAGGTATCGCCACAATACTATTGTCTTCATACTAGGAGAAGATTATGGTCTCACAAATTTGCACACTATCCACAGAATTGACAGGCTAACATCTGGAATTCTTATGTTTGCAAAAACTGTTTCTAAAGCTCAAGAAATGGAAAAATATGTAAAGGGAAGGCTTGTTAAGAAAGACTACCTTTGTAGGGTTGCTGGGAGATTTCCTCCTGAAACACTGACATGCTCTGAGCCAATAATGGTTGTTTCACACAAAGTAGGGGTATGTCAAGTGAAGCCTGAAGGAAAAGAAGCAAAAACTGAATTCAACTTTGTGAGTTACAATGGGAAATCAAGTGTTGTTAGATGTGTACCACATACTGGTAGAATGCACCAGATAAGAGTTCATTTGCAGTTTCTTGGCTACCCAATACTTAATGATCCAATTTATAATAAACCAGATGTCTGGGGTGAAAGTAATGGTAAAGGTGGTACAACTAAACCTGTGGCTGAAATCCTTGCTGCATTAGAAAGAGGAAGGAAAGATTCAATACTGAAATCAAGACAACAAGAAAGTTCAAACACTGTTTCTTCTGTAAGCGGTGACAGTATAGGCTCTAATCAACACAATAATGAAAATCAATCAGATAAAATAAGTAACAAGGTTCCACCAAAAAAACAGAAACTTTGTTTTGGTGAAGGCAACCCAAGTTTTGACTCTGAATGTACAGAGTGTCAAAATCCCATACCAGATCCTAAACCTAATGAGCTCTGTATTTATTTGCATGCTGTTTCTTATAAAGGGCCAGGATGGGAATACAAGACTAGCACCCCTGAATGGGCGAATGCTGACTGGGATATTGAATAATGATTTTTTTTAAATTCCATATTCATGTATATAAAAATAGATGAATTGATGAAAAAATTACCATTTAAAGAAGTGGTAAAAAGAATATATTTGGAAAACAGCACTCTTAAAAGACAGTTAACTTTAGAAGTATTGGTGCTTTTAGTGATTTGGTACAGGGCAGACATTTGATTTTCTTATGATCTCTTTTTCTGCTTCTTTGAAAAGTTCATGCATCCAAGAAATATGATAAGTGAAGAAGAGATAAAGAACAAGACACTGCTATGCACTGTACCCCAATGGTACCTTCCTAAATCTTTCCCCCAATGGTACCTTCTTAAAAGTGGATACCAATCTGGGGTTTAGGTGCAGCATTGACCATGCCATTGCCACATTTGCCAGGCTCTGCAATCTTATGTTGCTCCCTGCAACTATTAGTATAAGTATTGGAGGGACATCTTTAAAAATTGACAGATCTGTTTTGGACGGCCTAGCAATCTTGACCAATCATTAAACACTATCCTCTTCAATTGTGCCTGAGAGATCTGGTAAATTTTCTGCATCAACATATAATGATGCTAAGGTTAAGTGCAAGCTGATCTTTGTGTATAGAATAGGGCAGTTCTAAGTACAAGCTAAGTATAAATTACACCTCAGAGTAGCAACTGCAGTAGGGTAAGCAATATAGTGGTAAAGTGGCAGTATCAAAACTTCTACTCCTAAAATTTTGGAATTCTGACTCAGTTAAAAACACCCCAAAATGCCTATGAATCTCCAAAGCATGTTGAATCTGTTGCAAATTGACTGAGATACTGCCACATAAGCAGGGAACACAATGATATTTCTGGAACACCATGACTGAAAAAAGATTGAGTTATAATTTACTTAATGAACAAAAGGCAGAAAACATAGATATAGCTGAGAAACCAAAAGATTTGGTCTCAAGAAACGTTTGAAGAAATATCTTTTGCTAAAATTTAAGAAAAGAAAAACCTTAATATGCTTTATCTGTAGGATGTTCCATTCTCCTTTTTCAGAAATTTTTGAATTATTGTGTTGCTCTTAGAATAAAGGATGTAGATCGAGTGCCCTTCAACTCTGCCCCCCTCCCCCCTCCGAAACTTTCCAAGTGCTCTGCTTGGACTGTTTATAGCAATAAGAATTCGAAAGATCAATTTATCCGCTCACAAGAAGTTGTCATTGCTGCTTCGAGTCTCCATTTCGACAGATATTTTTTTTAAATTTGGTGTAGCATCCGCTCAATTTTCATTTGGTGACTAAAAAGCTGTAGATAGGTGACTGCTGGTGACACCAAATAAGGATTGCCAGCGATTGTTTGTTCTGGAGGGAATAGATTTCTAAACTGATTCTGATTTTCCTGTAAACAACAACAGTATGTTTGTATTTATTGATATAGTGTGGCTGTAGAGGTAAATACAATTCTTCACATAAAATAATACATTTCTGCAGATACATCGCGTGTGGAACAGGCCTGTAGCCAAGGGGTGGCATGGGGTGGCAATGCAACATAAGAATGCCAGCTGTTTGCCACCCCGATAAATTTGTCTTCAAATTTTTTCAATGTGTTTTTTTCGTCGTTTTATTGGATTGCTATGGCAATTTGAGTCAAGCCAACACTGACAGAAGAAATGTTTCTATATCGGAAACTCCTATTTCCAATGTAGGACTTAAGATAGTGCTTGGTGCTTAACAAATTGGAATATTTTTCCGATGCTAAACAAAAACACTTCCCGGGAAAAATTGAAAATTTACTTCAAATCAAGTTTGAGAAGCGATGACCGTCGCTTGGCTAAAATTTTACTGCATCGGAGTGGGATGTTCATATTTGCAAAGTGCATGCTGATGGCATTCTAAAGCCAACAAACATAATTGTGAAGCAGCTTCAATCGTCCAGTGCAAATCGTGTCACAGCGCTGTCTGTAGTTACAGCAATTTGACAAGAACTTCAGTAACGATGTAAAACTCGACTGAGGACCAATGTTTGAGATGGTTGCGGAGTTTCTCGATTAATGTGGACATGAAGACAGAGAGGGAATGCAATCCTGCATCCCTGACATTTGGAAGTAAGATTTTGACGGAAGACATAACATTTGAAAGTTATTTAGTTTAATGGAAGTTAAGTTGTTTAATTGCTGAAGAAATGCTACAGCCTTTTTTGCTTGTTTGTTTCCACTAACAACCGCCCAGCCCGCCCCACCGTACAAATACTTCACTTTAAACCTTGCCTGCATTGGAAATTGGGAGTCTGCCACCCCTACTCCACTGACCTGGCTACGGGCTTTGTGTGGGACATTTGAATTGAATATATTGTAATATGTGTCGCAGGGTTTTGGCAGTGAGATGAATTGCAATAAAGTTTATGACCCAACTTTGAGTAGAATAAACAATCTCCAAGATCATTATGCCGTTGAAAGACTAGAGTGGGGGTTTGTGACCATTTATTTTGTAATTCTTGGACCTTTGCAGAGATCTCGTTGTGTGTCTTAAGATTATGTGGGATATGCAGTGTGACCAGATCTAGCATAATATAATGCTTTCAGCATAATATTGACCAAAAATCGTCATTTAGCATAAAATCTAGCATAATTTGGAATCTAGCATAACTCTGGCATAATTTTGATAGTTTTTAAAAAATCGCTGTTTCCATTGATCTGTTGTCTTTCACCGTCAAATGGAAACACTTTACGCAAGAATGTGTGACTTTCCACTTTCAGGGTTTAGCCAGGTGTTTGGAACGGTTGGCAGCCAAATATTTTATGGTTGGCAGCCGAATTCAGCCAGCTAAATTCAGTACACAAAAAAAGCTAAATTTTTGACAATTGCAGGGAGTGATAGTGTAATCAAAATTTGCTTTGTAGGTTACAAAGCTTTCATTTACTTTTATCTTTCATTGTCTGTTATCTTTTACGTTGTTCCATGTTTCTTTATTTGCAATTTTGAAATCATTCTAAAACAAATTTGAATATCATCTATGTAAAAGATTTATTTTCCTTTGCATTCTTTGTGATTTTTTGCAACATGCTGCCAGAATTCTGCCAACTTTTGCTTCTTCGGCCAAATCAATTTATGACGGCCAAGGGGTTAAGAAATTTGGATGTCAAAACCATTGATCTAAATTGCCTTTTTGTGGAGAAAAGATGGCAATTTTGAGTACACTGTGTTTTAGTTTGGGGGTCAAAAAGGCCAAATGGAAACTTTGGTCACTTTTGATATTCTGAGCATCCTCTAGCCTCTTTTACAAGCAGGGGTCTCTTGATTTGAAATTTAGCATAATTTTTGCAAATCTAGCATTATTTTATGACCAATTTGGCATAATTCCAAAATTCTAAACTTCGATATCCGAATCTTGAAGAATGTTTGTGTGTAGTGATTTTGCATCTAGCTCAACCATCCACGAGTTCAGTGGGATGATAGTGTGCATATCGAAAGCTTGTTGTAAAAAGTGAGTTTTATCTTTTATATGCGAAGTACTTTTCTATACTATAGGCCTATGATAATTATCAAGGCATGATAAGAGATTTCCTGCAGGAGAGCCACAACCTGACAGTGGTCTAAAGCAAATTATCAAAAAGTGGTAAAAAGCAAAAATGTGACGTCTTAGAATAAAAAACAACATTGTTTATCATTCTTTAATAGAAATATAGATTCAAACCCTCCATAGTTTTCATTTTTCTTTATGGCTTTTTCAACTGTTGGCAGGGTACAAAAACTTTAGCAGGGCAAGAATGCAGCCACCCCCCCCTCCAAAAAAGCATGAAGTGACGCCCCTGTTCCGCAGTCCCCTCCCCCACAAAAAGAGTACTGAAATGAGGCAGTAGAGGCAACTGCAACAACAAAAAAGTGGACGTCAATGGCGGAAAATGGCGGAAACCAGTGATACTCCAAGAAGCAAGGCCTAATTGGAAAATTCATCGATACGATCAAGATATTCCTGGACCTAAGGTGTGTTGATTTCTTAAAATTAGAATAACTGATTAATCCTTTTCCATAGAAATACTGCAACCTTCGATCGAAGGCATTTGAGCTGGAGCAACGTAGCATTTCTCGAACTCGTATATTATAATAGGCCAGTCTACAAAGTATGGCATGTGCACACCGGAGATATTTTTGTGCAAAACCTGTTGCACACCAGGTATTTTTGGGTGTGGCAACTAAGATGGGTGTGGCTTGGTGTGGTCCCATAGAAAATGTCAGCTGAATCAGCCTGATAAAAACAAGCACAGTTGTGTATGAACAATTTGAGATATCATGAATTATACTTGACAAATATACAAATAAAAACTTGCGCTATCTTCAACAGTATACTTCACACGCATTTTTAAGGTGAAATGCAAATTCACAAATTTTAACCACAACAGGGAAAAATAGTCGGTGCACACCAGCAAACCAGAAATTTTTGGTGGTGCACACCGGCACACCAGGCTTTTTGCTCGTGCACACCGGAGATCTCTTCGAAAAGTGCCATACTCTGCAGACCGGATAATAGGGATTTTTGCCAAACGAATCCACCCTATCGTTGCCATCGATATAAACTAGTCGTTCGATGAGAATTGAGACAAAGAGACAAATAAATAATCTTTCAAAGTTTTGGAAAATGAGATGAGTTAGTTAGATTCATGGTTAAGAGCGATGGGGTTAAGGTTTGATATTATACAAACACACGTACACTTACAAATGATAAATGAAAAAGGTTAAATGTGGCCAAACATGAATTATTGACTTCTGTAGCATGGGCTGCTTGTCTACCATTTAAGGTTACGGTAAACATTTTGAACACGAAAATTGGTTTTTCCTTCCTAAAGGCCAAACGGCTTAAGGAATCTGGAAAAACTATATATCATTCGATGCACAAGATTATGGCGTATCTAGCCAGATAAAAATTATTGGCAAATAATGTTAAATGTTATTTTCCATGCGAATTTACTTGTCAAAAAGTGTACCACCTTCAAAAGCTATTATGTACCCTTGCGTTTGAGGTAACAAAATCTGACTTAGACCAGCAGGAAGTGCCGGTCCTAAGCTACCAAAGTGTGTCTCAGATTTTTTAAATTCCTCCTCTTCTTTAAACTATACCCTGTCAAAAATTGGCAAATATTTTTTCCACCCTCCCGCTGCTGTATTTGGGTATAAAAGACGGACCAGAGAAAATAAAACAATTTTGAGACACACTTTGTTTGCCCAACGTCTGCCCTGGCCGTGTGCAAATTTTCGAGCCATTCGATTGGTCCCTTGGGTACATAATAGCTTTTTCGTACCTGCATGTAGAGGAATTTCGAGTCCGGAGAAAACGGGATTTTACTAATCGCACTTGCAAGATACACTCGTAAACCACAGTGTAATCCGGGTCAAGTCACTTGAAGATTTAAGATCAATAAGCCTGTTTAAATAAACACGGCCGTACATTGGGTATATGAATGTGCCATGCGATATTGTAAATGAGACATGCGACTACAACCGCAAAGCAACGATAATCGGCTAAAAAGGTCAAGAGATTTTCAGGCCTCAACTAAAAGTTTTGATAAAGAAATTATGGAAACCTTCGTTTACATGGGATTTTTTCCACTTTCAAAACTTCTGTTTGTTTCAAATTTGGTATCATTGTGTGCCTTGAAAGTTCGGCTACTTGAATGTGAAAAAATCGAAAAAATGATGTTTTCATCCAGAAAACGTTTACCGTAACCTTAAGTGCAAAATTAAAACGTTATTCAAGATTAAAACCACAACAAAACAAATTTGAACTATTCCATAATAAATCTTGAGTATATATTGAATTTATCTTTTACAAAACAATGAAAGTTTCTCAGTTTATTATATAATGTTTATTTAAATGTTCTTTGTTATACTCCCAGGTGACTTCTTTACTTCGCGAATGCCATTTTTGTTCAGAATCATTGAAACTCATAGCTTGCGCGTGCGCATTAAGCCGATGATCTGCAGAACTCAAAATATATTCGAATAGTTTGATGTAATTCCTTGCACAGCTTCCTATGAGGTGACATAAACCATAAACCCTTTTCTGGCTTTCTTTCAAAAGTAGATGAATAAAATAGAAAACGTGTTAGAAAAGAACCTCAAAACCACAAATTAAAAAATGCGGGACAACCAGCCCCTGCGAAAAAACCATTGCTCAACCATGGCTGACAATGGTGACACCATGGTTACACCATGGTTTTCAACCATTTCCCACCATGGTTGAGCAACGAAATGACCATGGTTAACCATGGTAGAACCACGAATTTCCAATGGGACCCATTGCTCAACCATTGCTGAACCATGTCTAAAATTTCAAAATTTTTAATTTTTCATAAATTTGCTTGAGCAATATTGAAAGCTGAAATGTTCAGGATTATTTTAAACAATTTTGAAATTTTCAGTTCTTTTTATGATTTCAGTTTAAACCATGGTCAGACCATAGCCAATACATGGTTACCTGTTCATGGTTGAACCATGGCTTAACCATGCTCAACAAATGTGTTTCAACCATGTTTTTCCATGGTTAGACCATGTCATCTAATCAGTTTACCAATTTAAGTCAAATCAGGGTTCAACTATATAAACATTTGAATTTTTGAAAATACAAATTTGAATTTTTACAGGAATTGCATAATGCTTGTAAACTTGGTTTGAAACATGGTTCAAACATGGTTCAACCATGTCACTTGACCATGATTGAACCATGATTCAACCATGTTTCTTGGCCATGATCAAACCATGATTCAACCATGTCTCTTGACCATGATCAAACCATGGTTCAAACGTATCAACCAACCATGATCAAGCCATGGTTCACTTTTGCTTTTTTTCTTCTTTAAGATTCCTCTTACTTCTGCACTTCATGAACTCCTGCTTTAAGCACTCTCAAAGAGAATCTCTCTTTGAGCTCATCAAAGTTCTGACACAGTAAATTTTAATGCAAAGCTTTGCTTTTCACAAGAAAGCTCACTTTGCTTGATATCATATTTTTATTTGTTGCTGATTAGAGCACTTCAAGGTTCCTGATCAATTTTTAAAAAAGGCATCTTATCTAGGATGAAAAGTGTGCGTAAAGTTTGGCAAAGTTCAGGCTTAACATGCAGTTCTTGAACTTGTTTTCATGAGACTGTATGCAAATACTAGCCTCTCACAATCTGTAGAATGGGGCTTCCAGGCAGGTCCGGTTCCATGGGGGTGTGTCGGGGGGGGGGGTAACACAAGAATAGGCATTTGTGTTTTAGTCGGTTAAATTCGGGATTTTAGTCAGTAAAATTGGGATTTTGACGGGTAGATAAACTTTTTTGTAGAAAATTGTACTTCATGTAATTTTTAAAAACATTCAAAGATATTAAAAAGTTCTGGAGTTCAGTTTTTCCGCTGATCCAGAAGAGAATTTTCAGTAACATCACAGAAGAAGATTAATCCCAAGATATTTGACAAAACCAGAGACAATTTTAGTCTGGGAGATGCATTTCAGGGAGATGCAATTAAGCCATCCTAGAAGGCTTAATTTCAAAAAATTTCTTTCGCATCGGACCCAACCATGGCAGGTCCTACTATGTCACTGAACTTGATTCTTAACCCCACAGGCTCAGTTTTGTGGCCCCATCTCTCAAACTGCCAAGCACAATGCACCAGTCGCATTAACGGAGTGTAATAATGCCAAAATGTATTCGGTAGATAAACACTTGCACCCTCCCAAAAAAATTTCCTGAAGCCAGGCCTGCTTCCAGGGCATCATAATCGTGCATTGAAGTGCATAAAGCTCGCAAGTCACTTCCGGATACAATCTTTCATATTGTTTCTGCTTGTGTTCTAATTTTTACAGAGAATTGAAGTATGAACTTGTAAGGGGTTTCACAACAATAATCGTTCCAGGTGAAACTTTACCCCCTTAGCTATCAATCACGGTCAAATTCCTAATGAAAGTTTTCTAATGTCATAATAAAATCAATGTCGTGACCAAAAACATTATGAAAATTTTCAAGTAGACTAAAATTTTTGCTCTTAATGCGAATCTGGAATAAAAGATTTTGTACAAAAGCATTTAAAGAATTTTATCAAAAAAGTTTAAGTTGAATTGGTGTATACCCTGATAGTAGAAGGGGAGTGGTCGTTAAAAATCCAAAGGAAATAAATGTTTTCTTATTTGAAAGCAAGGAAATATGTCTACAAAACAAAGCTAATCTTGGAATACCCAACGGGGGCAGGGGGGCTGCTAAAAATATAAGGTAATAAACTACCAGGAAAGCCTCTTTTTAAAAGGTTTTAGCCCCCACTTCTTTAAAACCCCCACCGTCTCAAAGCTCCCTGGTGCCTGCTTAATAATGAAACATATAACCATGCAAAAAATTACTTATAGGCGAAAGTTTCTTAGTAGGAAAGGAAGAAAATACCAGGATTTTAAACAGTGGAGATTTCTTGTAGGGACATAGGGGGTGGAGCCCATCTTTCTTGTTAGAAATTTTTTTGACTTTGAAGGGGGCAGGGGGCTTGATCTTGCTTTTGAATTTGAATTTAATCTAAAAATTGTTTGACATTTTAAGAAATGTCAATTAATAAATGGACCATGGTTCAGCAATGGGTCAGCAATGGTCAGGCCAAATTTTCATAAAACATCTCAAATTCAAAGAAAATAATTTTTCTATGGCTTAAAAACAAGGAAATATGTCCACGAAACAAATATAGTAGAATTCAAACTATTTAATCTAAAAATTCTTTGCCATTTTAAGAAATGTCAATTCATAAATGGACCATGGTTCAGCGATGGGTCAGCAATGGTCAGGCCAAATTTTCATAAAACATCTCAAATTCAAAGAAAATAATTTTTCTATGGCTTAAAAACAAGGAAATATGTCCACAAAACAAATATAGTAGAAATCAAACTATTTAATTTAAAAATTCTTTGTCATTTTAAGAAATGTCAATTAAAAAATGGACCATGGTTCAGCAATGGGTCAGCAATGGTC